GGGTATTTAGTAGGATTGAAAGGGGTATCTTTCAATAATTTTATTGAATGAATTAGAAAAGTGTATCCGCCACGTAATCATGATTCTGAAGAAGATTAGGTAAGTTAGTATGAGGATATTATTTTTATGCATTGTTCTAAATGTAAGGAGTAAATAAAGTAATATGGTATTATTGGAAAATTGTTATTAGCAATGATTTAGTTTAAAGTAATTAGGATTGTAAGCTAATTTTTATTAATTTAATGTATGTGCTTATTTATATTTTAAGTAGTATTTTTGAATTTAATTATATTTTAATTAAATGATAGTTATTTTGTGAATTATATGTTTGTAGGATTTTGGTATATGTTTCAGTGGAAGTAAACGTGCATGGAAATAATTTAAATATTTGACACTAAGTATTTGTAACCATTTGTAATGTTTGCGGTATGAATTTGTTGGTGACGTTTATAATATAATAGATAATTTAGAGGTAAAAGTTTTGGGATATTTTATTTATTTTATACAGTCAAAAGTCGTTAATTCGGACACCCATAATCCGGACCTCAAAGCTACAAACTTTCTGCGCATGCGTTGCGTTCACGCATGCGCACAGACGTTAACGAGTGCGCGTAAGACCTTTACGGCTGCGAATATGTTTGTGCGCATGCGCATGTAATGTGTAACGAAGGTAAGCTAAAATTATCTAATTCAATTAATGTTGCAGATTGCGTTGTTCCTTAATCTACGAATTGGATCCAGCTTATTATTTTTTGCAGACTGTTAGAGCAATTTCATAAAAGTAAGCTTGAACTTTCGATTATGTCAAATAGAATTTCGGATATATATTTACTAATATGTAATTTGTATCTACAAAGCGAAAGTATGTTTTGAAATCCGAAATCTGTTTATCAATTTCACCCTGCGGATTGGAAGTTGATCTGTCAGCACTATCCTTATCTTCAGGGCAGATGGTTTTCATTTTATTTGGCTTATAATTCCTTACTGAGTGTAGTACTTCATCTCGATGTACTCCGTCTTTGATATGTTTAAATCAAGTTCCCTGTCATTATAATTCGCTTCGGATAGTGAAGAAAGTGACCCAGAGGTTATTGAAAACGAAAACATTTCGATTGACAAATTAGTCGGTATTCTCAACACAGCAATTATAGGACTTGAACACTGGAACTTTGTAACTAAACAAGAAATTATGTCTGTTAAATAGAATTAAAGAGAAAGTATTATCACGTGAAATGAAGCAACTTACATTGAAAGAAATGTTTAATAAAGTAAACAAATAAATATTAAGCTTTTTCTTTTTGTAAATTTTGATACCATTTAGATCATAATTGTTCTTTATTTCATAAATTACGGTTTCATATTTTTAATTTTGTAATTTCTGCATGCCATCTCACCAGATTTAAACTGATGATCTATAATTCGGAAAAATCGATAATCCGGAATCGCCGAAGTCCCGACGAGTCCAGATTAACGACTTTTGACTGTACGTGGAAATGTTCATCCTTGGAAAGAGTATACTTTTTCGCAAACAGGTAATTTCATATATGTGCTTTTTACCGAGTTTAAAGATTCACAGAATTTTTTTGCATTTTCGTGCAAATTTTTGTAATTTATGAGAAAATAGCAGTGTAGATGGATAAAGTTAAGAGTGTGTGCAATGCCACTTTTGTGCAACTCTGGGATGTTTTTTTTAAGTAAAAATAAGTCGACGTGTAAATGGTGTATGTGCTATTCTGAAAAACGCGCAAGGAGTTTGCGATTGTGCACTTTTCCCAATTTTGCAGTTAATATTTGTCATGATTAAGCAGTTTTGTTACATAAAATTTCTAGCATAAGTGTAATTCGGCTAGTAGATTGTTGGAAAAAGTGTTCAGTAAATAAAAAGAAAAGAAACATGTCTTTACTTCGTGAAGACAAAATGGCGGCGAAAAAAAATAGAGGGTTGCTGTAGCAGAGTTGGTCGCCAAATTTTCGCCCAAAAATCGCCAAGTTACCATAATCCAAAGATCAACCCCATATGCTTTTTCCTTATACTGAAATAACTTTCCTTTATAATGTTTCTTTTGAAAATGCTTCATTATGAGATACTTTGCATTAGAAAATTAATTGGTCTAGAAAATTTAAACACACAATGCATGAAAACTGATTTTTTATAAAGATAAAAAAAAACTGAATTTTGATTTTAAAACAAATATTACAGTAATATCCATAATCTTTAGTTTTTGAAATCTAAAACTACTTAATTTTAGTACAGGCACAAGTGCATTAAAAAGAAAGTAAAAACATAACAAAACTAAAATCATGTCTTTTACAAGGTTGTTCAATAAGTTCGCGGAGCACCATCTATTCTTCAATATTAGACCTAAAACTTCAACGCTATTTTCATATTTGTTCTTTCTTAGGAACATGTCAAAAGTTTCATTTTGATCTGTTAATTTATTCATTGTTTAACCGCCCTTTATATCTAACGTGTTGTGCCTTTTTTCAGGTATGGATAAAATTGAGCAAACATGCAGTTATCAAATTCTTTGTAAAGAAAGGTTTAAAGGCAATGGAAATTCATTCCGAAATGGTTGATGTGTTGGGTGAATCTGCTCCTTCAAAAACAATGGTTTGCAAGTGGGCTAGTTTATTCAAAAGTGGTCGTACCAGCCTCGAAGACGATCCGCGAGAGGGACGTTCCAAAAACTGCATCAACACCGGAAATCATTGGAAAAATACAAGATATGGTATTGGAAGACAGTCAATTGACTGAACAAGATTTAACAGAGGCTTTAGGCATTTCATTGGGCACAGTGAGCAATATTTTGAGTGTTAATTTCAGTTTCAAAAAACTCTGTGCAAAATGGGTGCCACATTCTCTAACGATGGAGCAAAAACACATTCGGATGCGACTTTGCCAGCAACATTTGGAGCGTTTTAAGAATAAAAGCGACATTACCCATCGATTTATCACAATGGATGAGACTTGGGTCTACCATCATGATCCTGAATTAAAACAGGAGGCTAAGGAGTGCTATGAACCCGGCTCTTCGGCGCCGAAATGAGTTTGTGTGCAAAAATCAGCCAAGAAGGTGTTAGCATCAGTTTTTTGGGATGTGAAAAGAATTTTGTTTATAGATTACCTTCAAACTGGCAAAACAATTAATTTGGATTATTATTGTAACCTTTCGAATCAATTAGACGAAAAAATTCGTGAAAGAAGACCCGGATTACAGAAGAAGAAAATAATTTTCCACCAAGGTAACACACCTACGCACACAGCTCAAAAAACCATTGCTAAAATAACTGAATTGAACTACGAATTGTTGCAACATCCGGCCTATTCGCCAGATTTAGCTCCCTCCGACTTCTGCCCTTCCCACACCTCAAACAATATCTCCGTAGAAAACGATTTTCTTCAAACGAAGAGGTAATAGCTGCAGTGGAGGGATATTTTGCAGAGCTGCCGAAAAACCACTACAGTCAAGGGATCCATAAATTACAAGACCGTTGGAATAAGTGTACTGAAGTTGAGGAAAACTACGTTGAAAAATAAAGTCATTTTTACAAATAAAAATTGGTTTCTTCATTTCCGTTCCGCAAACTTATTGAACAACCTGGTATGTTTGGGGGAAAGATAGCAGATGACAGAATCTGAAAAAAAAAAAATTATATAACATTTAAAAATAAATAAATGGTACTACTCTCACAAAAGAATAAAATAACTGATATTTTCTCGAGTAATTATCCATATTTTTTTAAATCTGGATTGAACATCAAATGAAAGTAGATTAAAATCAAATTAAGATAGAAAATTTACATTTGTCTATTAAGTTTCATTTATCAAATTTGGAGCAAACTATCTTTTTACCTTATAAACTTGTCCTTTATCATCAATAAATAGTTACTCAAAAGTCCCCAAACTTGTTCCTCCAACTAAAAACTAAACAATCCTATTTGAATAAAACAGTCATTCAAGCTGCTATCAAATATTTTTAGTCGGAGCCAAAATCTGAATGTCATGAATGAAAATTAAATGAATCTGAAGTCCTAAAATTTCCTACATAATACAGAAAAAATAAAATCAACACACAAAACAGTATTTTCAATCATGTTCATATAAATATTATAAACGATATAAAAGACCGTGATTTAATACTATGCGGTAATTTTTAAAAGTGGGTATTTGAATATTGGTAGAGCATACGCTGGGTTATCCACCTAAAAGAAAAGATGTGGCTGTGAAGGTCTTTTTTAGAAAAACTGACTGGTATTCATGTTACATATGAAGAAAACTATGGGGAAAGTGCAGAATCACCCACTGCTTGACGTGTTTTTAAGAATTGCACATACTCGGTATCCACGTACATATCGACCTTTTTCACTTAAAAAAAATTTCCAGAATTGCACAAAAATGGCATTGCGCATTCCCTTGATTTTATCCATGTACACATCAACCTATAAAGGTCAATGAAAATTGACAAAAATCCAATTCCTCTTACTCTTGTAAAAAGTGCCAAATGCCGAACAAATAAATGGGCGATTCTGGACTTTAACCAAAACTATTAAAAACAGTTATGCAGCCAGCTCGAAATACAAATATTCAGCAGTCTTTGCTGTTCAATCACTGGTGGGATAAATATACTGGTATAGTAGAAAGAACCAATACAGTCAATAAATGCATCTTATAATAAAAAAAAGATTTTTTTTTTTTTTTTTTTTTTGACAAAACAGGAAGCTAATTCAAAGAAACTGTTCTTCAAATTTATCAAGTAAGATATGTGTTTTGTTATTCAGTAATTTCAGCTCACTAATTAACCCAGTGCATAGATCAGAGATTTGCCGTTCATTCTTACACAATCATTTTAAATCAAAACACATTTAAAGGTTTCTCAGAATTTTCAATGCAAGGAACTACGTATTTAAGAAACTTCAAAAAAGCGTACAGAATATTTCGTGATGTATTTCGGCATTCAAAACAGTAATAACAATAAATAAATTTCACTCATTGAACTCACTTATGTCCAGTGCCGATTATATACGTATTTGTACCTTGTAGAGTCATAGGACTTGGATTGCATCCCAAAACTCGTATAATTCGACTAGAAACTGAGCTAACTTTTGGTATAAAAGCAGACATTTTCAAAATCTGATTTACTTTCTGCCACAAAGTCTGAAAAGCATCCTACGTACTTCACGCATTAAATCACAACGTTTGTTTTGATGCCACCATGTAAGAAATTTATTGATGTCGGTCTTGTTGAAAAAAAAAAAGATGTGGCTCCAATTCAAGTATTTAAATATTGGAAGGGATAGTGGTTACGGACACTGACTGCCGTGCCGAAAGGCCCGGACTCGAATCCCGGAGAAGGCGTGGGTTTTGTAAATGTATAGTTTCAGTGCGGCATGGGAGCACTCTAAATATGCGGCGAACCCAACGACTTCATATAACAGGTAGACGACTCACCCACAGAGAATTCGTCTGCTAGGGTGTCTCCAACATATACCACGTGACTAATGCTCTTGGCGTTCTTGGGGAGTGATAGCTTAGGCTGTTCATCGCCAGTTTGGCCCGCTTTTGATATGGCAGATAGTACTTTTTATTTCCGTCTGCTAGCAGTCAGCAGACAACGGCCTCGAATTAGGTTGTTCGATTTTTACAATTATATTTAGATATAACTTAACCCCTTTTTTCCTGAATATTTTATCTATATTTTTAATAATTGCTTTAAATTATTTGCACCATTGTTTTAAGATGTTTTAGGTTAAATAATTTTAGGAAGAAAATCTAAAATAAATAATAAAAAATTGGGATGGAAACTTTAATTTTGAATAACGTTAAAAAATTAATTGCACTACTGTTATAATATTTGAGAAGGTAAAAAAAAATCTCGTTTAATTTTAATGCATTGCATCCTAAAGAGAAAAGAAAATCACATTGTATTATATGTATTTATGCCATTGATTGCCTTTCTTTTCTTGAGATTATATTACTGGAACAAAATAATGCACTCTCTTTTCTTGAGATTATATTACTGGAACAAAATAATGCAATCTTAATTACTGATTTCCACACTCATGTGTATGTCATGGGGGGATCAATACATCTTATTAACTATAAAAATTATTTTATATTGAATATGTATCAAACTGAACTCAGTATTTATTATTAGGATCAAAACGATATTACAGTTAAAAATTCTCTCACTCTCCTTTTTTTTTTTTTTTTAAATACTATTTAAAATATGGTAAGTTTTTCACATCGCATTTTTTCAATTACAATAAATTTCTAACAGCATCGTAGATGAGACAGAATTAGATTCCAGATTATTTTTATTTTAATTGATTTTATAGAAAATAATGATAAAGCATTGAGCTTTATAAAAGTAATCTGATTTTTAAAATAATGCTGTTTAACTGTTTATGTTCAATGTTGCATGAATCAAGATCTTTAGCTTTTTTTTTTTAACAAAGTAAACATATCGCACAATGTTTTTTTCTCAATAATTTAATGCTAATAATAGCGTTTTTCTTTTTTTTATCGCAGGCAGTAATTGTTTATGAAATCAAAACGCGTACGACTTGGCGAAAAAAGGTTTAACGCCAATTGGCGCAGCTTTCTATTTCAACGGAATACACGGAAAAAAACATATAAAATTCAATTACTTGTAAAGGGTGATTCCAGTAAATAGTGTCACAGTATTTAATACATTTTGATGCTAATAATACATTCTGAAAATGTCATATACGGCGTCAATTTTCTTATACAATATGGCTGAAACTTTCCAACCAATTCGACAGAGATAGTAAAATGACAAAAATACTGAAAATAAAATAATAAATCATGCAGTTTTAACCTATGAAAGATGATAGTTTTAACCTATGATATTACCTATGAAAGGTTACAAGTCCTCCTTTCACGAAACTTTCTTTACATCCGTAGGCGCTGCAGCGAATAACCATTTTTACTTAAATTTTATGTGACCAAGCAGAGCAGCAGTCTTTCGTCCCATAGAAAGCAATGTAAAGTATTTCCGCACTTTCGGAATTGGCGCAGCAGTCACGCGCAGCAGTCAACTAATATGTTGGAACCGGTTAAGGTTGCAATACGCTCTCTACCAGTATATTATCTCGTTGGGCGAATCGAGTAGCCTCTCGAAAGGTTGTGGTAGGGAAAGAGACGTGGGAAAACCTTCGACCCGTCTACCCCGGGGTGCTCTATGTCAAAGTTGGGGACGGAACTGAGCAAAATCTTACTGTCACCTGTATGATGCTCAAGACTCTTGCCAACGACAAGTGCAATCTTGCATTCCTTATTCTACCATAAATTTTATGGGCTTGTTCTGATGATAATGTCAGACAAGTGAGATAAGTCACAACAACAAATATTTGAACTGGTATCAACTGCCATCAGTACTGCACGCGAATTACTCTCACGATTCTGTCGTAAGAAAGAGCAATTATTATTTCGTTCAACCCTTAAGCGGTTGTAACTTATGAATAAGCGCCTCTCTGTTCCCTGCTAAAAGGGTGTTGTGCTCAGATATTTTATTTAACCTTTAATTTATTACTATTATATCATAATACTTAAAGCTATTAATTTATTTATCTCATGTTTCTCCTCAGAGGTAGTTCTGGCCCTGTCTCTTTAAAGCTAACTCGCCTAATGAGTTGCCCGCTCCCTTCCCTTCCCAGACCCGAATCACTTGCGACGTGAATGACCTTCTGTGAGTGGTTCCTTTCTCGTGCTGTTAACACCACAAGAGGAATATTGAATCTTTTCAAAATGTATGATGTAACCCTTCCAAATTGATTCTGGTCCTTTATTCGATCTCAAAATTATTAAATCAAGTCCTTCAGCGTTTTTACCTTTTTCACTATGGAAAGCAGTTTTACCTTTCATTATGTTTGCAATTCAACACTAAGTTTGGATACCTCTTCGCCGAACCCTCTTACGATCTGTGTGTTTTTATGCTAATTATTTAATCTTTGATGATGTGGGGATAAAGGCATTAAGCCTATGAGCCTTGTAATTGAGGCCTTCATTGATCCTTGAATGCGAAATTTCTTATTCGTTTTGGGAGTTTATTTGATTATATTTTTAATTTTTTCACACAGATTTTGTTTAATACTAATATTGAAATGATTTTAATAGATTTAATAATCTTTTTTACAGTTGTCTGTTCGCGCTTTCGAAAATTTCTACAATACAGAATTTTTATTTCTGCTCCTGGTCCTGTTTCACTCTTGTTCCAGCCTGTTGTAAGCACTTCAGCAACACCTAAACTGTGCACTACATTCTTCATTGTTTCTCCTTCCCTATGATAAATTTGAAAGCTTTATTTTTTATGGCTGTGTAGTATATCGTGTGAACAAGAAGCATTCGGCTTTGGAATTCCAATGATCTGGCGAGAGACACGAAATCACAGCATTAGTATGACTTTTGTTCGACTGGTTTTAATGTGAAGAATAAAGAAAATCATCTATCCAAAAGTGCTAAGCGCTTTAAGCGCAGTTCCTCGTGGTACAGAAGTACTAGTGCTAATTTTACCAGAAAAATTTAAGTGGAATAGACGGTTCCGCAAGTGATTCAAATGAAAATACGAGTAACATCGAGGAGTGAGAACTTCTCGATACCTGTGAAAGTGTGAACCAGAGCTTTTTCACAAACTGAAAATCCAATTTCGAATTTACAGTAACAAAAGTGCTTTTAAATGCTGAGGAGTAGTCACTTAAATGGCGAAAATTCTAAGCATAAAAAATACCGCGGTCACACAGCGAACAAATCACATATACTAACGATAATTACCAAATGCATACAAAAACAACCAACTTCAGCACGCGTGAAGTAACCATATTAAGGGAGTTTTCTAAATCAAAATCATGTAAGAAGATCTACAAATGTATATTTTGCATTTAAAAATTCTTTCTCTTTTGTCTACATAATACCAATAGTAATCAAAGATATCCCTACAATGCAACTGATGGTTTTTGCAAATGAAGAAAACAAGCAATATAAAAATATAATTTTTAAATGTTAGAACTAAAACTTCTTTCAAAAATAAATGTAGAGATTTAATTTATACCTCTAAGTGACGTTTTGATGATTTTTGAAGTTTTAGCTTTGTATATCAAGACGGGCGGCATTTTTCTTTCGGGAGGGAGGCATTTTTCGTATGAATATATTATAATGATTAGTCATATGGATCTTTGGATCAGAAAGATTAATTGATATTTTTCTGATTATAACACTTATAATATAATATTATTAAATTGTAAAACTTAAGTTCATAATAATCAGCCTTGGATAAGAGCGGGATGTCTTCGTGGAGGACTGAATTCTCCGCGAAGAACTTAAAAATGGGAATTGGATAACATTCACATTACGAAAGCGGCACGTATTCACCTCATGCATACATGAATACAATGTTACGTACCCTACCTTATACATAAGGTAAGCCACATAAAACAGCCAGCCCGTTATTTGAAATTTCACCCCAGCTCCAAATACTCAATCAGTTATTTGGGGTGTGAAGAATTGCGAGATGCCGAATGTGACACAAAACTGAATTAAGTTTTTTACACTATAAAGTAATTTCTTCCTTCTTTCCGCATGTCTTCTTGTTGGAATTGGAAGCATACTCGACTAGTATTCGAGTCCCGGCGAGAACATTGCACACTTTTCACATCTTCAGCATCAAAAATCCTAATGACTCTTTAGTGGCGTCGAACTGAAAGGTGATGAGCGATAATTCATCATCACCAGAATTCGGTGATTAGGTTCCTTCCTCCCCAGTCGCCCTTTAAAAGTGGGAGTATAAGAAGGTATTTTCTCCATCCTACCCTGTGGAACGGTGCTTGCAACACCAGGGTGCCTGAGCCTAGGCTCTACCCCTTGTAGAATTAATTTGGTTGCTTCGAAAGTTGATGGAAATTAACTATTCAATTAAGCATTTAAATTATTAAAAATTATGATAATACTTTTTAAAATTATTTTTAAGATTCTAACTTGAATAAGTTATGCTAAATTAATAATAATCATTTTGGGTAATTAAGCTGGGGAAATGATAAGCTGTAACATGGATTTGGCGCAGAAGCAGTCGAGCTGCTGACGCTGTGATAAATACATGGTAAGTTTTATGGAAAGACTCAGTAACCTGAATCCTTGTAAATAATATGATACAAAATAATATAACATAAAGAATACATACAGTGAGAAAATATAAAATAATATACATACAAACAGAAGGTGCAGAATAAACTTAGAAGCATAAAAAATGATGGTACTTAAACAGCAGGTTTTATATTATGGTAATGTTTAACTGGGCCAAATGTATGTACATGTTATCCAAATTGTTGCAATC